AATGAAATCCAGAGCTAGAAAAATGTCGCCAGATATTCGGCAAATAGATCTGGATGTGAACCGGACATATCGTGATCATATCATGTTCAGAGATAGATATGGCGTCAAGTAGGTACCATTAAATTTCTGCAACAAACGTTGTTCTTGTTATAAATAAGTAATACAAACATAGCCAGAATAGTTTGAAATCACTGTACTAGATCAAAATTGTATTTATATAGTTGGAAAAAATGGTGTGCAGATTATATTATATTATAAGAACCATCAGTTTATGACATGAAGTAGTTTGCCCTCTGAGATGAGTGATTCTTTCGGGATCTTGAGTGAAATTGGAAGTTGAGTGGCGTCAGCTTGTTGACTGCGAGGAAGAGGTCTGGGAAAAAATATTGAGGTTGTACATGTATGACCACGTAAGAATGCAATTTGTCTACTTGGGTTGGGTCAAGTCTAAATCTGGGTTATCGACAATGGCTGCAAGTTGCGTATGGTTTGCATGAAAATTACCTCTCTTTTCAATCCAAATTACACCATTTATTTTGCATTACTTACATCCACAGTCTCTCTCCTCTCTCATGTTAATTTCAATGAGAAACAGTTTAATCTTTTTTTTCTTGCAAATTTGTATAAATGTATGAATAACTTATATGGAAGGTTCAACATTCATAGTCCATGAAAACCATAGATACATAATTTTCTCACAATTTCACTCAATATTTACATGTAGGAGTTAAGTTCGGGCATATTAATAGTTTTGTCGCTGAAATTGAATATCCTCTGAAAACTACATGAAACCCACTACTGTAGAATACCGTACTTTATTTTCGCTTGGAATTAATTTTCGCTATTTTCGCTGAAGGAATGATTCAGTGAAATTAAAATCCAGCAAATATACCTTTTTTCCTATATTTTACATTCAACTTGTCAAAAATTAGTGAAAATAAATTCCATACAAAACACCCGAAATGTCTTTTCAGCAAATATTAATTCCAGCTAAAATAAAGAATTTTACAGTGTACCATTAACTTACTGTCATTTACTGTATGTCAATTTACCATGCTATAAATGCAATGTAAATATTCACATATTTTGCATTGTTTTCAGACAACAGGCATTGTTTCATGTGTTAGCTGCCTACTCAATGTACAACACGGTAAGTGGAGTGTATGTACAATGATGTGGTGTATTTATTTTAAAGGCGGTGGTCATCGCCCTACGTCCTGCTCGATATGGGACTCATGGTGACGTATACAGCGCGTGTGAAATACATTGTTTGTTTACATGAAATTAAAACACAAGCTGTGCAATAACACCACCTATAAAAGGGAACATACTATAAATAGGGGCAAGATGATCACCGCAATTAGTATGCTAATCCGAACCAAGCCGATCACATCGTGATGGGAGCTCCGGGAAATGTGCCATTTACAATGTTTAGAGATCAAGCTGTGATCCCAAATACATTTCTACGGGGGCATGAATATGTACGCTAGCGATTACACTCATCTGGTTGGGCTTTTGATGTATAAATGTTGTTGTTTTTGGTCGAAACGTGCCGTGACAAGTAAAAATCCTGAGTTTAAAATGGTGGCTAATGTATACAAAATGTCTGTCAATGACAGTTTGAGTAAGGGAGCATAATAAGCGTTCATTTACTTAGTGGACAGAGGCGGAGTTAATCACCCATGAGCATGTGGTGCAATCCATGGGATTGAGCAATTCCCCTTTAAAGACATAAAATGCAATAAAAAATGTCGTAATTAAAAAGCACTACATATTCTCACTTCAATTGAAGTAGACATTGTCGGTTCTTGCGTTCATAGATTAGAATTTTAATCCCTGTAGGAGGTTGGTTACTGCCAAGGGATGAGTCAAATAGCGGCGCTGTTGTTGATGTATTTAAATGAAGAAGACGCATTCTGGGCGCTATCACAGTTATTAACAGATACCAAACATGCTATGCATGGTAAGTAGTTGATATTGTATACCGACTATAGAGGGCCTACTATTTTTAAGATTTCAAAGTGAGGCTATGTGGGTAGCGTATTTACTCTATCACTATTAATACATGTGCTTACATTAATAGAGTGTCTATGGTCAAAGTTGGACATGTGATTAATAATTCATATTTTTGAATAATTCAACATACAGTAAATGTAATTTTTGGTTCATGTCTGCTTTTCTTGGAGACAGCTTCAAATAGAGTAGACGATATGCTAAAATTTCCACCATCACTGAAATGTTGAATATGTTATATTCACCGAGAATAGAACTGACATAACCATGCACCGTTACAGAGTGTGTGAAACAGGTAGATGTGTGTAGTAATCATTAGAGTTAAATCTGTAGAGCGCCCTCAGGAGGTATTGCTCGCTCCTGCCATAGAGGGCGCAAACAGAATACAACATGAGCATATAGATAGAGAGTAGGTTTTACCCTTATCAATAATTGTTTTGAAGAAACACATGGAAACTTCTACCAAACTTCTACCAAGTTTAATTTGAGTCCAGATACCCTATTGCCTCACTATAACGGTATCCAGACATCCCAGAAATGATGGCGCACAACATCTGACTGGAAACAGTCTATCCTGGGGGGCAGAGCTGCGCTACAAGACGTTCCACGTTGCTAAGACGCGTACCACTCTTCCATGTATTTCTATGGGCTCTGCGTGAGTTGCTGAGGAACGCAGAACGCCGAGTGAAGAGCCAGTGAAAATTCGAGAAAACAACAGGAACTCAACTTTGAAGTAATCCTGAACAATCAAATTTATATGCATTACACACACACGGTAATCTTGTTACACTGTTCAGGGGAGTCTCAACAACCATCCCAAAGTACCGTTTTCTAAGAGTTTTCATCTTGATGGTTGCCATGCGGTGAAAATGCCCGGATGTTCAACCCCCAGAATTGGCAAATTGGGAAACTATCACATTTCAAGCCATTTACCCAGAAATTTTCACTTTGAATGTTTCTTGCTCTGTTTGGGATACGTTGAAAAATACAAGTTTTGGCTACACCAGAAAATAATTCACAAAGAAAATAGGGTGTTTATTCATTTAGTACTTCTTAAACATTGAGGGATATACTGTTTGTCCCCTACTTTCTGCACTGTTACTACCTCTACAGGTGCTACTTAGCTTTTTGTTTCTTCAAATAATTATTCCCTTATGATTACGATATATATTTGATAAATAGACATCAGTGGGATAAGACTAACTTGCCTCACGACGGTCTAATCCAACTTGCGTTCCTTGTTGGTGGATGAATAATCCAACGCTTGGCAAATTCTGCTCGCAATGAAGAGCCGACAGACATCAAAGGATCAAAAATATTTACCATGATTTTTTTCCTATGCAGGATTTTTTATTCCCGGTTTCCCAAAGCTGTTAAGATTTCAAGATCATCATGATAAAATATTAAAGAAATTTATTCCTAAAGTCAAGAAACATTTTGTAAGTTGTTTATAATTTTCCTAATATATATATTTAATGAGTATGTTATGTGTTAGACGCAACCTGTTATCATTTTCACATTCACACTGTACATTGAAAGATTAGATTCACTTATTTGTCAAATTATCTGAGCGCTAGAGAATTTAGGTTTTAGGCATGAGAAGGTTGTTTCTCACACATTGAAAACACACTCATAACTCATTTTTGGTGCTTGTAGGAAAACTATTTGTCACGCTCCAGCCATTTACAAAAGGCAAGGCCTGATTTATTGGTTATGGCCACATCTGTCTGGGTCATGCATTTGTTGCTTTCCTGCTGCCCATTGCTGTTCCATTGTACTTATCACACAATTTAATCTCTTCACTGTCTCACCTTCCAAATGTGTAATGAAAACTTTGGTAAGCATCTTCTGCTGGAACAGGAAAGCAAGTTTTACAAAAATGTCTTCACAATAAAAACCAGTAGAAAATCACTACACTGATTTACTCCTCTCTAACCAGTAGATCCCTTGTTTTAATTATTATTATGTATTACTGTTACAGGCCAGGTATGAAATCTATCCTAGTCTCTATACTATGAAGTGGTTCTTTCAGTGTTTTCTGGACAGGGTAAGTTTACTGAACATGAAATTCTACCTCAGCATCGCCTGCTGAAAGTCTCCATAGATACAGAGCTGATATATTTCCATCAGTAGGGGGGGATGTGTTAACAGAGATCGCATTAGTACATTTGTATTTTACGTAGTGAAGGAATAAACAATTTAATTAATCTTTGTGACAAATGAGATCTCATCTCTCAGTTATGTAGCAAATAAATAAAAATTCCTGTAGTTTCTGTTGCCTTCCTGAAGGCTGTTATCATTGAACATCTTTTATAGTCTTTGTATGTCTACGTTACTTGTGTAACAAATTATCTACTACACATATTTACAGGGTTGGGTTGTCTTGGGGTTAGGTTTGAAGTCTGATGGCTTGTAAATCTCATAAACTGCCTCAATTATGAAATTTGAAAAATTAATGATATATGTATGTGTAAAAAGTACTGTACCAGCTACTGTACAATATTATTATATAATTTCACTGTTTTGTACGTCATTTATTTTCACTGATTTTTGATGACCTGAAAGTGAAACATAGATGGAACAAATTTCACTGGATTTTATTTTCACTGATTTATCCCTTCAAATATATAATCCAAGGGAGAATAAAGTATTTCAAAGTACTTGCTCTGTTTTAATGATGTACTTGTTTTTCATAGGTACCATTTACACTAACGTTACGGACATGGGATATCTATATGCTAGAGGGTCAGAAGATTTTAACTGCCATGTCATATAACATTCTTAAAATGCACAGAAGTAAGTTTAGTTTGATTATATCCTTTGAAGACCTGTTTGGTTTATTCTTGCTCTAGCTTGTGAATTTATAGTTGTTTCATGATCTAATGCCAAATATGTACTATGTGTCAGGTGACACTCGCGTGCTGTGTGTCAGGTGACACTCGCGTGCTTTGGGTCAGGTAACACTTGTGTGCTATGTGTCAGGTGACACTCGTGTGCTATGTGTCAGGCGACACTCGTGTGCTGTGTGTCAGGCGACACTCGTGTACCGCGTGTCAGGCGACACTCGTGTACCGCGTGTCTGGCGACACCCGTGTGCCGTGTGTCAGGTGACGCCCGTGTCTGGTGACACCCATGTCTGGTGACACCTGCGTGCCGTGTGTCAGGTGACACCCATGTTGTGTGTCAGGTGACACTCGTGTGTCGTATGTCAGGTGACACACGTTTGCTATGTGTCAGGTGACACTCGTGTGCCGTGTGTCAGGTGACACTCGTGTGCCGTGTGTCAGGCGACGCCCGTGTCTGGTGACACCCATATCTGGTGACACCCATATCTGGTGACACCTGCGTGCCGTGTGTCAGGTGACACCCGTGTGCTATGTGTCAGGTGACACACGTTTGCTATGTGTCAGGTGACACTCGTGTGCCGTGTGTCAGGTGACACTCGTGTGCCGTGTGTCAGGCGACGCCCGTGTGTCGTGTGTCAGGTGATGCCCGTGTCTGGTGACACCCATGTCTGGTGACACCTGCGTGCCGTGTGTCAGGTGACACCCATGTTGTGTGTCAGGTGACACTCGTGTGCCGTATGTCAGGTGACACACGTGTGCTATGTGTCAGGTGACACTCGTGTGCCGTGTGTCAGGTGACACTCGTGTGCCGTGTGTCAGGCGACGCCCGTGTGTCGTGTGTCAGGCGACGCCCGTGTGTCGTGTGTCAGGTGATGCCCGTGTCTGGTGACATCCATGTCTGGTGACACCTGCGTGCCGTGTGTCAGGTGACACCCATGTTGTGTGTCAGGTGACACTCGTGTGCCGTATGTCAGATGACACTCGTGTGCCGTATGTCAGATGACACTTGTGTGCTATGTGTCAGGTGACACTCGTGTGCCGTGTGTCAGGTGACACTTGTGTGCCGTTTGTCAGGTGACACTCGTGTGCCAGTATTACACAACAACTATTTGCAGCTCATTGCAGTCTGGCACCTATTTACTGTATCTTTTATTTTAAATACTTAGTAAATAACGTGTTTGCAGACGGTCTAGAAAGTTATACAAAAACTATCATCCTTTGAAAACATAAGTGTAAACCGTCGATCAACGAGAAAATGTCCATACAAATCGATCAGTGGTTTGTCATTGATGATAAAAAATACTCATATATTTAATGTAATATGCATTTATTTTTTTTAATTTTCTTGGTAAGTAGTAATGAAAGTATATTCTAAAAGAAGTTTCAAATAAAAACACAACTGTATTGCTGAATAGCAAATGATCACGGTAGCGCAATCCGGTCATGCTGCGTTTGACAATTGTTTATTATTACATGGTAGTGATTATTAATAACGTACAAAAAGTAAATTTGTTGAATTGTTATGAAATGCAAGTAAAATTCAACTTAGTTTCACCGTAAATGAATGATTACGATCGCATATATATGCTGGATGTGATACAATATCTGCCCTTTTTTGTCTTTAATAAGTTGACCTGATAGGTCAAATTGCTAATCAACCAATCAAAATGGTGGATGATGTTCAAATTACCATAGCTCATTTGAATATGTTAATGTTAATGAATGCAACACAGGAGAGATTTGCCCATGTTTTAGTACGAACTTTACCTTTGATTTTGATAGCAAAACTGTACAATTTTTTTTTAAATGGAGAAATTAGTTTTCAAAAATAAACTGAACATTTGAAGACTAATTAGTCCCCGTTCGGAAGCAGTCCGAAAACGGTGACTTATGTTTTGACCTCTGTGTGTCTGTGCATGTGTCCGAACCTGTATCTTAGAAATGCCTGGACCAATCACAATCAAACTTCACACATACATCATACTTGATATTATACATATGCACGATTCAAAATGCCTGAATGGTGTCCATATTTGTGCAAACAAATCATCAAAATCAAGCATTCTTCAGCTGTATACAGATGGATTTTGTTCAAACTTGGTATATACATTAGACATTATAGGACCTTGATGCACATCATTTTGTTTTACGATCTGATTCAAGATGGCCGAATGGCGGCCATTTTTGTGCTAACAAATCATCAAAATCAAGCATTTCTTGGCTGTTTACAGATGGATTTTGTGCAAACTTGG